ATGGATGGACTGATAAAAGTTTCATCGAATTATTGGAGTTGTTGAAGGAGATGTTTCCCGAAGATAATACATTACCTATTCTTAATTATGAGGCAAAGAAGATATTATGTCCAATGGGTTTAGAGAACAAGAAGATACATGCATATTCTAATGATTGTATATTATACAGAAATAATTTTGCTACATTAAAGATGTGTCCAACATGTGGTTTGTCGCGGTTCAAAAACAAAGTTGATGGAAGTAGTGGTGAGGAAGAACTAGATGACCCCCCTACTAAGGTGCTATGGTATTTTCCAATAATACCTAGGTTTAAAAGATTATTTGTCATGAAAAAAGATGCAAGAAACTTGATATGACATGTGAATGGTAGAAAATGTGACAATCTTCTTTAACATCCAACTGATTCTCCATAATGGAAAAGGATTGATGAAACATTTCCAGAATTTGGTGCAGAGTTAAGAAACTTGAGAATTGGATTGGCTACGGATGGAATGAATCCTTATGGGAATTTAAGTAGTAAACATAGTTCATGGCCAGTTTTGTTGATTATTTATAATTTGCCTCCTTGGTTATGCATGAAGAGAAAATATATTATGTTGTCTATGATGATTTCATGACCTCAACAATCAGGAAATGACATAGATGTATATCTTAGTCCTTTAATTGATGATTTAAAGATGTTGTAGGAAACATGAGTGGGGGTATTTGATTCATATCGTAAAGTGAATTTCAGGTTGCGTGCAATGTTATTTTGCACAATAATGATTTTCCAGCATATGGTAATTTAAGCGGTTATAGTGTAAAAGGTCATTTTGCGTGCCCTTTATGTCAAGAAGACACAATTTATATCCAATTGAAATATAGACAAAAGATTGCGTACAATAGGCATCGAAAATTTTTAATTGCTAATCATCCATATCGTAAAATGAGGAAAATATTTAATGGATATCAAGATAATGTAATTACATCATAATTTTGTAGCCTATATTTTAAAATCTAATATTTATTTCAAATTATTAAATTAAATTCTTTGGAGAATCTTATCATATAGTTAATTTATTTATTTACCTTTTAATTTCATGTTAATATCAAAATAACACATGATATATTTACATGTGTTTAGGGTTTAACAAAGCTATTGAATTTACAAAGTATTTACATAATCGATAAATATTTTAGTTTTATTTTAATTGAATTTGTGTCATAATTATGATGATTGAATTTATTTTAATTTTGTTTACAACTCACATCAAACATAGTTAATTTTAATAGCTTTGTTGCTTTGCTTGTATCTTCTGTGCATTTAGTCTGTATCGTGATGACATGTAAAATTATTTAGTTAACACTATTTTGGATTCTCTTTCATTCATTTTAGATGCATGGGTCATAAACGATTTCTGTGTTTTGTTGAATAAATGCAAATCAGATAACAACAAACTCATTAGTAAGTTTTTTTAATAAGCGTTAATGTTTTATAAATGAAGCTTTTCATACTAATTATTACTAAAATTATTCGTTCTATTACAAAATCATAGAATAAACTTATTTACTATTTTACTTTTTACACCAATAAAATAAGTTTAAAAAAATCTTTATGCTTATTTATTAATATCTTTAATTTGAAAAAATATTTCACCGTGAGCTTATATATTTATTTTAGGAAAAAAAAGACCTTTTAAATATGAAACCTATCTAGTTTCTGAAAACCATTTATAATTTATTGTGTTTATGCATTAATTTTAGTTGCTTATTGATCTGAACATGAAAAAACATTACTGTTGGTATATAATCAACGAATTCTTGCTTTCTAGTAATTAAAAAAAATGAAACCATTTGTTGACCAATGCATGTAAAATGATTGAAAGAGAAAGTACAATGAAGCTCACCACGCAAAACAAAAAAGGATAAGCAACTTTAATCCAGAATCTATAAAATAATGTTAGAAGACAAAATTTCAATAGTAAATATTAAGCAAAAAATAAAATACTGAAATAAAATATCATGATAGACATCTAAAATATCATTTGACCCGAATCAATATTTAGAGGGTATGATAATGAACATCATTGATATTGTTGTGGGCATATTACATGTGTTTGTAGTAAAGTTGTTACAATGATTATGCATTGGTATTATTTACAACAATATGTTATTGGTTATAGGTGGATGTTTGCTATCAAAGTTGGTTCTCATGGTATTATTGACCGTCTCAAAATTTATCTTATGACAAAAAATTACACACAAATTTTTTGTTTGGATTATGGTGATACTTTTTCTCCTGTAGTAAAGATGACTTGTGTTAGCTTATTTATAGTCATGGTTGCTCTTAAAAAATGACCTCTTTACCAGCTAGATGACCTCTTTGGTTTGGAGCAACCTCGAGGTTTTGTTGCTCAGAGGAAGTCTTCTAAATTGATATATCATATTCACAAGTCTTTATATAGCCTAAAATAATCTCTTAGGACTTGGTTTAGAAAATTTAGTAGTGTTATTTAACAGTTTAATATGTTGAATAGGTGAATAGAGCAGTGAAAATGACGAAGTACTCTAGGGAAAAATGCAAAATAAAGAAGGGTTGGGATTATGCACATTTATTAAGATTTTATATTCATAATTATCTATGATGTTATTGTCACAATCATTCTCTACTCACATTAATGTTTATTTTAATTTTAAGTACTTTTACATGCAATTAGTTTTAGTTGATCTAATATGTCAATAAAAAGAGTTATTAATTGATTAAATTTGACATAAAGACATTAATGAACATAACTATATGATTGTATAAGAAATGCATCCTTATTTTTTAGTCACTACAAGAAAAAACATTTTTAGCGACATCGGTCACTAACGTAAAAAAATTAGTCGCTAATCAGTTAACAATCGAAATGTGTCATCGCAAAAGACCAAGTCGCTAAATCGTTAACAACCGATTTCCATTTCAATCGCAAAATAACAATCACTAAAGTGATTGCTAAATAATTCGATCACTTATTCCTTAAATACCAAAATAACGACCAAAATTAATATAATAAATCGATCGCTAAATCGATAACAAAATTTTAAAAAATAACAACAAATATAATTGATTGTTAATATATTAATTGATTTATTTAAATAATAATTAAAATAAATCGCTAAATCGATTACAAAAATAACGATTGAAATTAATATATTAAATCGATTACTAAATTATAAACAAAATTAAAAATAATAATGATCGATTATATCAATTGCTAATATAATAATTAAATTATTTAAATAATAATTTAAATCAATCACTAAATCGATCACAAAAATAATCACAGAATAATTTCAATTATATATTATAATATATTTATAACGACAAAAAATTTGATCACTAATCTAACTAAATCTAAAATTTATTTTTTAAATTTTGTATATCCAATTTTGCGAATTTGTACCTGCTTAATTGATCCAAAATAACACAAATGAAAACTTAAGAACTAAAGTCAAATTATTCAAATCATAATAGGAATAATTCAAAGTCATGCAAGCACTCAAGATTTAAAGTCATAACAAAAATAAAATATTTCTAAATAACCACTCAAGATTCAAAGTCTTAATATGATAAAATTGAAAATTAGTCCTTTAATATATTGTTAATATCATGTTGACTTGTAGTAAGATAACTAGGGTCAGGCGACTAATGTTGTAAAATAAGTTTCATCTCGCTCATCTTGTTAGCGTTGATTGTTCCTCAACTCCTGCATCTCTTCTTGACTTCTTCTCTACGCTACACATATTGCTCCTAAAAATGAAGTAAAATATAATTATTATAAAGAAAACATATACAAAATAATAAACTATAACTTAGATGTTAAACATATAGCAAGATAACGAGTCATTTCATTGATCCAATGTCCAGTCTTTAATTTCTTTATCCTCTCAACAATCTCCCAAACGGTTGGTTCCGTTGAAACTCCGTGATCTACACATTAAAAATGAGACAAAATTCACTACCTAAAATCTAATATATTCTATTAAATTACTTATATAAAAGTATAATAAAATTACCATCTTCTCATAATAAGCCGAAACCCCTACAGTAAGCTGAGGTACCCTTGTCAAGTAAGCTGAGGTACCCTTGTCAAGGGCCCGATTAGCCTTGGCAATGGCGCCCTTGAGCTGGAACTCACTCAACTCTCATTCTTACAAACAAACTCATTTAAAGAGAATAACCCATAAATATTGTGGGCACAGAAATAGTGCAAAAGTCAACTTGACAAAATATGGCATATCACGATAAGTAGAGAGCAACAAGAAAACTGCTAACAACAAACCAAATTAGATTCAAACAGGCCCAAGCACTAAACCCACACATCCAGGGAAACAGAACAATGTTCAAATAATTCCCCACACAATTAGCCTCAACCACCAGTTTCTATCCAAATCAAACTAACTGATGCAGTCCAAAATATCAAACATATATAAAAGGGAAAAAGAAACGAAACCAGAACAAACAAGTATATCCCTAAGGGAAATCCAGACATGGAAAACAAAAGACAAACTGCAGAGACCATTTCTATCCATGACCACCTAGACTCAATCCTTGAGTCGTTAAGGAATAACATATAACCCATCAGACAACCCCACTCGATAAGGACCAATTTTAACCCACCGAACCAGGTGAAGGAAAAGGAACAGATTCAAGCTAACAAAAATTAGTTGTACCCAATACAACCAAATCCAGGATACTCGATCTAACAAAATCCAAACAGCCACCATATAACCCACATCAGAACAAGACGAACTTAAACCAGGCAGCAAACAAATCTAAATTTTGGTTTAAACGTAAACAAAATGAATTAGCCACAGACGAAGCAAAACAATTTAATATCCAGGCAGGGGCGTGTAACCACAACCTGACCAAACCCACCAAGCACAGATAAGAGACAAAAAATAATCAAACCCACTCGGCTTGGATTTGGTCAACGCAGCGCGGGGGTGCTGTGCTCACGGGAAGCACGGGGTTCGCGATGGAGCTCGCGGTGGCCGCTGGCGGCGCGATTCCCGGTGGTTTAGGGGCTGGTGGTGCGCGATGGTGATTTGGGAGAGGTTATAGGGAGTAGGGATGATGGTGGTTCCGCGGTGCGCAACAGGGCGAGGGGCTTTTGGGGCTTGCTAGGGTGGAGGCACGGTGGCCGTGAGCTAAGGATGAGTGGCGGTGAGATGGGAATGGGATCCAGGGAAGGTGAGGTCAAGGCCCGTGGTGGTTAGCCGCACGGTGGGTTGACTAGGATTGCGATTACAAGGGTGGAAGTGCAGGAGTGGTGTGCACAGTGAGGTACTGGGGGTGCCGTGGAGAATCGCGCGCGGTTAGGGCTAGGGTTAGTGCTGGGTGTGGGTTGCGATAGGGGTGCACGGCTGAGACCTGCGGTGGCTAGCATTCGAGGAGGTGACTGTGGTTGGAGTTAGGGCGTGGTGGCGAAGCCGCGGCGACTCGAGGCGGCTGGTCGGGGGATTTGAGAAGGGAGATGGTATGGGGTTAGTGGCGGAGAGGGGTCAGTGGCGCGGCTAAGACCCGTGGGATTGAGGGCTGTTGATAGTGCGATTAAGATGGCAACGAAGGGGAAAGAGAAGGGATCTTGGAGGATGAAGGAGAGGCGTGGAGTTGGATGCAGGGGAAGGGAGATTGAGAGAGGAAGAGGTGGTCGTGGTGCCCTGATGAAAAAATGGGAAAGAGAATGGTGTGCGGTCTCCCACAAAATCATTATTCATCCTTTTTTTTAAGGAGGAAATTAAGTTAAGCAAAGGGCATATATTTTTTTTTTATGGATTGGGCCAAAAATAAGATCAAATTTTTCATATATATATATATATATATATATATATATATATATATATTTTTTTTTTAAAATAAATGGTGATAAAAGAATCTATTTTTTTTACTTTATTTTCATTTTTTCATATTTTTATTTTTCATAAATTTTTTCTTTTTTCTCTTGAATGTGTAAAATGTTAATAAGAGAAATTATATTTTTTTAATCATATTTTTCACTTTTCCTTTTTTTAAAATTTTAAAAAAATAAAATATTAAGACAAATAGAACTACTTTTTCTCCATTTTTTTTCATATTTTCAAAACAAATGCTAGTAAAAGAAAAAGTATATATTTTTTCATTTTATTTTTAAATATTAGTTTGTACATTACTAATTAATTTTAATTAAAATAATTAAAGTGATATATATATATATATATATTATTTTAATTTATTAATATTATCAAATTTTAGCTTCATAATTAAAAAAATTATCAATAATTTAAATTTTATTAATGGTATAATTTTCTATAATTATTATTATAAATTGTGAATGGAAAATTGGATTTAAAGGGTATGAATAAAAATTTACAATATTTTTAAAATGAAATCAGTAATTAAATATGTGAAGGGTAAAGAGTAGAAGAGTTTAACTTGTTACGATCAAATTAAATATAATAATATTTTTATAAATATTATAATAATAAAATCAATTTAACCTAAAATTTGAACTAATTTTTTCAATTTTATTTGTTTTATCTCAATTTAATTCAAATTTATTTATTTATAAGCAATAATTTTTTTTATTTTTTTTACCGTTTCTGATTAAATCAGTTCGTTCGTTCGATTTTTCAAAGTGCAAAAATTTATATTGAGTTAAGGATTGATCATTAAAAAATTATATTAATAAATATAAATTGAAGTATAAATATAAATTAGAGTGAAAAGACAAAATTAGAGTAGATAATAAACATTCTCTTCAAAATTTAAAATATTATTATTATTAATTTATTGTTCATAATTCTAGTTTCATTAAATTTATTTCAAACTTTAATAATATTCTGAGATGCATAATAAATTTAATTTTAAAAGTCTTTCAAACATCAAACATATAAAATTATTATCAAGAATCAATAATATTATGCAATATTAATCTATATATTTGGTTATATATATATATATATATATATATATATATATATATATATATATATATATATATATATATATAAATTAAGAATAGTTATATTTTATATTTTAAAAATGTATAAACATTTAGATAATTATTTTAAACAAATATAAAATAAGTTCAATAATTATTTTTTCAATTTTTATTAGTCTATAAAAACTAAAAAAAACTATAATGTGCTTTTTATTTTTATCTTCTATTTTTATAAACAATATTTGAACATTACTAATTAAATTATATTATTGTTATCCTAAAAAATTATTAAATTTTATAAGTTGTCCCTGTTATTAATATTATCTCTTTTATTTAAAATAATTTATTAATTTAAAGTAATAAAAAATTATTTATTTAAAAAATAAGATTAATTATTAAAACTGTTTTTAAAAACTAAATTAAATCAAAATACCTCTAATGAACTATTTTTTTTATTACATCAAATTGTTTATTTTTATTTTTATGTTTTTTTTTAATATTTACATATGTAGAAATTTTTAACTATTTAAAATATTTTTATTTGTTTATTTTTACATGATTTTGCTTTTATATATAATACATTGCTCTGTTAGAATATTACTGATGAGAATTGAGATATTTAAAATAAAATATTACTTAATTTAAATAATTTTTTTTAAATTAATCTACGAAGTATTTTAATCTCATGATAGAATAAGATAGTTAAATTAATTATCTCCAATTCACTTCTTTTTTAAAAGAAAAAAATAATATATATCAATAGTTGATATCTTCTAAACAATTTACTAAATATAATCATCAATTTAATAATATATTTTAAAAATATTAATTTATTATTTTCAACCATAAATCTAAATATATTATTAATCTAATAAATATATAAATCTTTTTAAAATTATAATTTAAAATTATAAATTTTAAATAAAACATTATAATATTATATATATATATATATATATTGTTTTATTTAATGTATATTTAAAAAACTAATCGATTAGTTTTTCAATTACTCAATTAAGATCGATTATTTTTTAAATAATTGATTACTTTTTCAAATAATTGATTAGAATCGATTAGTTTTTTAAATATAAATTAAATAATTATAAATAAAAATATATATTAAATTAAAATTAAAAAAATTATTATTTATAAATTATATATATTATATAAATCATAATTATAAAGTTAAAAAATTATAATCTTAAAATTATAATTATAAAATTAATAAAAATATAACTATTTTTAATGTTAAGTAAATTATAATTATATATATATATATATATATATATATATATATTACATAAAAAAATTACATATATGAACTTCTAATTAATTATATATATATATATATATATATATATATATATATATTTTATAAATTAAAATATTAATTATTAACATAAAAATAAATTATATTTAGAATTATTAACATAAAAATAAATTATATTTATAATTATTAAGATAAAAATATTTCAAAATATTAAAAAAACACACAAAAATACATTTCAAAAATATAATTTTACATAAAAATATCATTTTATCTTATATACATATATTTTTTAAGATTTTTATTATCTCCTAATTTATTATTAATTTATAAAAAAATATTACAATATCAAATAAATCAAAGAATTAAAAAAATTAATCATATAAATATAATATTTAATAATATATTTTAAAAATATTATTTTACTACTTTCAACAATAAATCTAAATATATTATTAATCTAATAAATTATAATTTAAAACTATAAATTTTAAATAAAATATTATAATATTATATATATATATATATATATATATATAGAATTTTATTTAATGTATAATTGAAAAACTAATGGATTAATTTTTCTATTATGATCGATTAGTTTTTCAAATAATTGATTACTTTTTTAAATAAGCGATTAGTTTTTCAAATATACATTAAATAGTTACAAATAAAAATATATATCAAATTAAAATTAAAAAAATAATTATTTATAAATTATATATATTATATAAATTATAATTATAAAATTAAAAAAATTATATTTATAATTATAACCTTAAAAAATATTATAATTATAAAATTAATAAAAATATAATTATTTTTAATGTTAAATAAATGATATATATTATATAAATGATATATATATATATATATATATATATATATATTACACAAATTAAAATTACATATATATAAACTTTAAATTATATATATATATATATATATATATTGCATAAATTAAAATAATAATTAGCAACTTAAAAATAAATTATATTTAGAATTTTAATATATATATATATATATATATATATATTCCAAAATATAACTTATTTTCATTTCTAATATATATATATATATATATATATATATATATATATATTCCAAAATATTACAAAACACAAAAAAAAACATTTCAAAAACATAATTTTACATAAAAATATTATTTCATCTTATATACATATAATTTTTAAGAGTTTTATTATCCTCCCAATTTATTATTAATTTCTAAAAAAAATATTACAATATCAAATAAATCAAAGAATTAAAAAAATTAATCATACAAATAATATATAAATACAATATTTAATAATATATTTTAAAAATATCATTTTACTACTTTTAACAATAAATCTAAATATATTATTAATTTAAGAAATATATAAATCTTTTTAAAATTATAATTTAAAATTATAAATTTTAAATAAAATTAATATATATATATATATATATATATATTAGTTAATTTTTCTTTCTTAACAAAATAAACAAAAAAAAATTCAAAACTGAATTCTAAATGGTTTGAAAGAAAAAAATAATATGCAACTACGTTCAAATTTCGTGTATCAGCAACTTAAATAAATTCAAAACTGAATTCTAAATGGTTTGAAAGAAAAAAATAATATGCAACTACGCTCAAATTTCGTGTATCGGCAACTTAAATAAATTGTGTTATATAGGTAAATAAAACCTACATTATATTATTTGAGTAATTAAAAAAATGAATATGTGCTACTGCAGAAAAAAAAATTGTATACTTAAAGTAAAAAATATTTAAACTAAAGATAATTATAATTTTATAAATAATTTAATTACATAATATATTTATTATCTAATGTATATCAACTATATTTTGATATAAATATTTTTTTGGTATATTAATTATATGAAAACAATCATGGTTAAGTAATTAATAATAATAAAGCAATAAATTTAAAAATTAGATTAAAAATAAAGTATTATAAAATAAAATTGTAATAATTTGATTGAAATTGTAATTTTTTTAATTAATTAAGTTAATGAGGAATTAAAATATAATAATTTGATGTGTTAATTTTTTTAATATAAATTTTTAAAATATAATTTAATTGAAATTGAAATTTTCAATTGAAAAATATATTAAAGAATATTTGTTATTAAACTTTTCTTAAACATTGTATTGAATAGTTAATATTACTTCAATCTTAATTTATTACAATTTATTTTTTTAATAAATTTGATTTATTTTTAATAATATTTTTATTTTAGTAATTTAAAATTAAAGTTAATATTCATTTTGTTAACATTGAGACCAAAGTTTATTTTTAAAGTATATTTTAAAAAATAAATTAC